ATATAAAACACTGCTCAGCAACAACTAAAACATCGGTGTGTTATCAACATTGTTTTTCTCCTAAAGCCAAAACATAGCATCGTACAAGACACTATGAAGAAAAACAACTCTGTCCCAACTGAAACTAAGACAAGACTGTGAATGTTGTGTTCAAAATTATCCTTTTGTAATCAAAGGGAAAAAAGCAACAAAACTATTTCAAAAGTTCTCAACTCCAAAAAATGCTTGTTTTTAGTACATTTGATCATACATTTAATTTTGTGTTAATTTCTAAACAGCTGGAAAGGAGAGAAACATTTAAGGATGCCATCATTTATAAGTCGTCTTTCTTGCTCTCCGAATTCGAGCATAAGATATTTTTTGCTAAAAGCTAAAAAGAGCTACGTGCAGTTTAATGGACAAGTACTACTTCTTTCCTCCGCATTTTCTCTTGGTCATTCGTTTTGCCTACAACCTCCTAAAACCTAAACTTTCTGTTCCTTGACATGTCAGTGAACAAATCTGAAGGACCCATAAATATTTCCAAGGAATAATGGTGCTCAAGCTTTACTTACTTCCTCATGAAAGTACTAGTTACTTGCTGTTTGCTAGTGCTGTTATTTGTGGATCATAAATCATTTTGGAAACATCTGGAGTCATTAAGCTTTTTGAAGAGGTTTACCTGACAGTGTTAGAGGCATCGTCAAAGTTGGTTTTTTTTATTCTCCTCCTTCTATCAGCATGGCATTCCTGGGTGCTTGGGTAAGAGTCATGTGCAGCACCTCCTGAGATGGCCATCTTCCTCAAGATAAGCCCACACAAAAGACCACTTCCTGGCCATTAAGCTGCAGCTTCTCTCTCTCTTTCACATTGCCCCTGGCCTTGTCCATCTGTGTCCCTCAGACAAAGGATTTCTCAACCCTTGCCCAGGACTTGCTTGTCCTTGTCCATCTGTGTCCCCAGTAAGCTTTGAGACAACGATGTAAAAGAATAATCTCTTACAGATATACATTGTACAGTGAAGGAAAGAGCTGCTAGAAGATGCTGTATATTGTACACGTAACACTATAATGCAATGGAAAGAGCAACAACAGTAGCAGAGTCCTAGGTTGCAGCAAGTGAGCATAAACCCAAACGTAGTAGCTGTAGACAGAAAAACAAAGAAAAATAAAAGACGTTTACCCTTAGAAAGCCTCAGGTACACAGGAATTCCAAGCAAGATATCTTTATCTCCACTGCCAACCCTTAAATGAGGCCTGGGAAGGGGTGGATCCTGGCTCCACCCCTTCCAGTCACTCAGGTGCATTGCATGCACCTGAGCTCCTCTGGTCCCACCAGGTGCTTGATCACTGATTCAAGCCTTGACTTAGCATTTCCACTACGCATATGGAGAGACCTTTTTAATAGACTTATCTAGGCAAGTGTGTTTTTGATGACATAGTAACAGTGTTTGAAAAGGCACTTTTTTCCTTTATATGGAGGTTTTATGTAATCTGTAGCAGAAATCAATTAGTGTTAACTTTTTTCGAGGAGCAACTGAAGGAACTGGGGCTGTTTAGCCTGGGGAAGAGGATGCTGAGGGGAGACCTTATTGCTCTCTTCCAATACCTGAAAGGTGATTATAGTAATAGTGGGGTTGGTCTCTTCTCAATGGTGACAGGTAACAGGATGAGGGGAAATGGCCTCAAGTTGTGCCAGGGTAAGTTTAAGTTAGATATCAGGAAAAACTTCTTTACAGAAAGGGTTGTTCAGCACTGGAATAGGCTCCCCAGGAAGGTGGTTGAGTCACCATCCCTGCATGTGTTTAAAAACTCTTTGGATGTGGTTCTCAGGGACATGATTTAGCAGAGGGTTGTTAGAGTTGGGGTAATATGGTTAGGTTGCAGTTGGACTTGATGATCTGTAAGGTCTTTTCCAACCTGAACTTTTTTATGGTTCTATGATTCTTTAGCAGTTTTTTACAGATTCAGCATTTTTTGCATTCCTTGCCAAGTTCAGTTCCATCTGTACCTTGGCTTTCCTGATCCTATCTTGTGGTTTAATCTGTCAGACAGCTGAACACCACACAGCCTTTTGCTCACTCCCTGCTCCACACACCCCCACACTTCAGCAGGATGAGGGAGAGATTTGGAAGAAAAGAAAGAGCTGGTACTCGTAGGTTGTGATAAAAGCTATTTACTATGATAGAAAAGGAAATAATAGTAATAATATATATATCATGAAAGAAGTGATGTACAAAGCTCACCACCTGCTGACTGATGGCTCAGCCAGTCCCAGAGCAGCAGCTGTCCCCCCAGCCAACTCCCCTCAGTTTTATACGTTTTCTTGTGATGCCATATGGTATGGAACATCCCTTTGGCCACTTTAGGTCATCTGTCCTCATTCTGTCCCCTCCCGACTCTTTGGGCCCCCTAGTCCCTTTGCTGGCAAGGCAGCACAGGAAGCAAAAAGATGAAATGTCCTTGGCTCTTTGCAGCACTGCTCAGCAACAGCTAAAACATGAGTTTTTGATCAGCAGTGCTTTTCTCTTAAAGCCAAAACATAGCATCATACCAGACACTATGAAGAAAAACACTCTCAGGTGAAACCAGGGCATCTCTGCATGTCTGGATGGCATCCTTGTATTTTTTCTCTGGCCACATGTTCCTGCTTCCACTGTTTATGCATTTCCTTCTCACCCTTCAGTTTGACTAGCAGGACTTTGCTTAGCCATGCTGATTTCCTGCCTGTCCAGCTTGATTTCTTACACGTGGGAAGATTCCTGTATTTGCATCTTCAAATTCTATTTTGTTTATTTATAGCTGATATTGTAGAAGGGGAAACTGTTTCGTATATAATATCAATTTCCTGTTTTTCTACATGCTTTCATAGTGCTTCATGTGTTTTCATAGTGTTCTATCATTAATAATGTGTTATCTGGGTTTCTGATGCTTCCCCTCTCTGCTGCACCAACCCCCTACTTGGTTGTTAAAGTTAAGTTCATATCAGAAATTTTATAGCTTTCAGCATTACCATTTTAACCTTAAGGCAGTTCCATGAGTGATTAATTACTTCAGTTCTAATGCTTACATTCCTAAGACTGAGTTAATGAATCTATAACAAAAGTATGTGCTTTTTTTCTCCACATAACTTAAGTCTTAGACTATGTTTTATCAACTATTCTTCCTTATTTTTTATATTGCAAAAGCATTTCAGTTTGGAAACATTTAACAGAATTACAGTTTTTATTCAGATGTAGCTCTGATTTAGATACCTGAACTCCATCCTCTTGTGGGTATATTTGTTTACTCTGTCACAGTATTTTAATGAGAAATAGAAAATACTCACACGCTCTCCCATTTCTGAAGTGATTTCTTCCCCTTAGGATTAGCTTATAAACTAGGAGAGATTTATACATACTAACTGTCAAGAAAAGTAGCTTATTGCAAAATGGGGAACCTCTTAACTGGCTATGAGGCAAAGTTTCTTAAATTTCATCTTTAATCTTCTCAGAAATATATTAGGTCAGTCATAAGTTATTTATTATAATCTGAAGATATGAGGGCTACCTCTTATGATGTTGGCCTACAGATTCAAAGATAGATATCAATGGATGGCAGTTGAGGTTGAACATTCCCACCAATATGCCATTCCATGTTGTTGCTGTGCAACAGATAGCAGCAGAGGGGCAGCCTGATAAAATGGTGTCTGACATGGAAGTCCATGCAAAGCAGTCACTGAATTCCTCCATGTGAAGAAATAGCACCAGCAAAGTAAAAGACTACTCATATTCCAGATGTCCATAGCAGATTTGTATGAGCACAGTATACAGGCTCTTGTTCATAGTTAGCAGAAATACATAGCTAATAGCGATAACTATGTTGAAAAGTAGTGCTTTGTAACTCAGAATTTGGTCTATCAAATACCATTATTGTGCTCTTTGTATCTGTTATAGTTTCTATGGAAATAAATAGGCAACATTACTCTAAGAGCAACCTATATTGTAGTGCTATAATGGGATGATAATAGCAGAACTGCAAAATCTTTGGCTATAACAAGTGAGAACAAACCCAAATGCAGCATCCACAAACAAAGAAATTAAAGAAAAAAGCTATTTACCTTTGGAAAACCAAATTGAAAGGGATCTCCACTGCCAACTTAAATGGGGTCTGGGAAGGGGTGAAGCCAGGATCCACCCCTTCCAGTCACTCAGGTGGAGTGCATGCAGCTGAGCTTCCATGAGTTGGCCCTGCCTTCCCACCAGGTACTCAATCACTGTTTCAGGCCGTGACTTAGTATTTCTACTACATATGTATGTATTGTATTCCTTTCCTTCAATTTATTTTATTTTCCTTAGATATGCTCTTTTTTTGCTATTTCATTTATATAACAGTAGTGGAGCGTATTGTGCAATCTTTGTAAATTTTCTTGCTTTACAACTGTGGTTGAAACTAAATTATTATTAAGGAGAGATTTTCAGATTAATTTAAAAATAGATACATATTTTTAAAATATCCTAAGATGTTTTACTTGTCACATTGCCTTATTTTTTGCATCTGTACATTACTCCATTTATTCTTGCTAGCCATCTCTTGTATGAAAAATGCTTTCTTCTCCAAAACTGGGAAGTGAATATAGCAACTAATTAAACTGTTAATGAATTAAATGCTCTCCACTGTAGTATGAACCAGCAAACCAGCAGTAATTTTGCTACCCTATTTTTAGTTTTTAATTTTTCTTTAAAAATAAGGTCTTTGTACTTTTAATATCTAGACAGGCTATTAGTTTAGTTCTGTATAACCTGAGGAAAACTTTGTTTGTCTTATTTCAGGTGAAGGGCTCTGCTTCTTAAAACAGAAGTTTGCCTTTTTATTACTCAGTGAAATTTGATATTTCAATTCTACATTGTTCTACCTATGCTTGACAGAATTCACTTAGTATGTGGCTGAGATTATGGCTTGCTTTTCATTTATAATTGATATTACTGAATTGAAAAGTCTTTTAAGCAAACTGAATATTGTAATTTGGTTTTATTCTTTTTAGTGCTTGGGAGATGGGAAGTAATGATAGCTGGCACCTGAACTAAAATATCTGTGTAGACGCTACTGTCCCAGAACTTCAGGATGAATGGGGATATGCCTCATGTTCCCATCACTACTCTTGCAGGGATTGCTAGTCTTACAGACCGTAAGTACTCATTTTCTCATCTTTCCTATGTTGCTTTCTACCTTTTTTTCCACCTCTCTTTTTTCTGAAGCTATTTCTAATTGTTTAGTTAAAACCTTTATCTTGGAACTATACTCAGGCTGGATAATCAGAGTAAACTTATTTTCTTGGACCTGTGAAAGTGACTTGCCCATATAGCTAGCTTTTTGGCCTCTTCTGGCTTGTTCTTCTCTTGTCTATGTAGCCCTGCCAATCATCTTGGTAAAGGCTTTTTATTTGATATACTTCTTTTTTATGCACATAGACCTAAGAATTGTCTGTAAGTACAGTATGCTCATATATAATCTGATTGAAAAGCACTCATCAAAATATTTCATTTAGCAATTAAATCTTCTTACCAAGATTTGTGAATGGGTATTTTGAGTGAATTAACACTGTAATTGTCATACCAGCCTATAATACTAGCCTTTTTTTGAGATGACTTATGTAGAAATGAATACAATAGGAATAGAATAAACTGATAATGTAATTAGTAGCTTATGATTGGTTTTTTGTTTTCCAATCTATCCAGACCATAAAAAGCAGAAACAGATTAAACTTGAAGTTCTGAGTAGAAAACTTCATGTGCTTAATGCGCTTTCTATACTACATGTAACTATAGGTATCTTGCATTTTCTTCCTTCCCATTATCAATGCTTTCAGCTCCAAGAGAAAACTGTCTTAACTTTTTAAATAACTCTATATTCTGGAATGTTAAAAAGTGTTTTTATTCATAGTACTTGGCTTAGCACAGTTAAATATTTACAATGATATTATAATGTGTGGAATTGATTACATTACTTTGTTTAAAACAGTCCAGCCTCTGTGTGTGTTCCTGATTTTTAAATAAATAAATCCAGAGATTGAAAATGTTTCTTACAGTTCAAATGTAGTTTTCAGGTGTTTGGTTTTTTGTTTTTCTTCTTTAATCATGTGAGGGAGTAAAAAGGTTGTCTATCTTCTGAACTTCTTTCTGTCATTTGATAAGTTTTGAACCAGCTGCCTCTTCCATCACCTTTACCTGCTACAACAACAAAAAGCCTGCTCTTCAATGGACGGATAGCTGAAGAGGTGAACTGCCTTCTGGCTTGCAGGGATGAAAATCTGGTTTCACAGCTTGTCCACAGTCTCAATCAGGTGTCAACAGATCACATGTATGTATTTTGAATTTCAGCAATATCAAATCACTGTCTTTATTCCTTGAGGAAACTGGATTGAGAGGGAAGTTGGTGAGAATCTGAAAATGTGCAAGTTTTTTATTAGGCTTCTTCAGCAGATTACCACTGTATAAGTCAGTTATGTCAGTCAAGTAGCCCTTAAGCATAACTGTTTTTTTTTTTTTTTTTAATAGATCTGCTGCTTGTTCAATAATGCTAGTTAAAAGTGCAGATTATGTGATGTTGATTGTTCAACATTTATTAACCAAACTGGAACACAAATAATACCGATAGAGAATACAGATACCTGATATTAGACAAAAAGATACTTTTTGTTGAGACCCTGTCATGGAGTTAACTAGATAAATCTATGCCTGGGACTGGGGGGCAGTAGGCCCCTGGGCCTCCCCCAGCCCCACAAAATGGGAAGGGAAAGGGATAGGGAGATGAGAGCTGGGCTCCAGGAAGGAAAAACAGAAGCAATCATCTATGGAGGAAAACCTACTTTACTAACCACGATATCAGAATGCAAGATAATACAATACAATCTAATTGAAACAGAGACTAATAAATCAAATAAGATAGGAGAGAGAGTTCTTGAGACAGAGTCAAACCTGAAAAGCTTGGAACAGCTAGGAAAGCACCCTCCAGCACCCACTGCCAGGCAGTAAGAGACCACCCAACGAGGAAGGGTCAGATCCCACTACTTTTGTGACATACAGGGGCAGGTATCTGGAATTGGAGCATTAACACTTTAACTCCGAGAGCACTGCATGGTGTTATGATGTAGAATACTGAAAAACAGAAAATCACAAAACCGTGACATTCCACCCCTTATTCTACATCATACATCATGCTTAGTATATAAACATATATACAAACAGTGATTAAAATGTATTACACACCCATGTCTGTAAACATACATATACACAGAATTACTGACTGTACTCCCCCAACATAAAATTTCCTTGTGGTACACATTGAACATGCCTGTTTTTCTGCATCACCCACCAAGGGGACCCAGGTCCCTGGGTGAAAACAGCACCACAGAGAGGTTTGCCCTTTCTGGAAGAAGGAAGGACCCAAACTGCGTTTCCCAACAACATGCTCCTTAAAAGTACAACAGGGAGTTTATCCCTCTATGGTACATAGGGAGCTGGATAGGGTAGGACCACCACAAGTGATAGATCCTCCAGTGTTGACCAACCTGCCATGCCTCCCCATATTTATACTTTTGCCATTGCTATTTCCCACAGAGAGGTTTCATCCTCTTGGCTTGTTTAATTATGGCACATGTTTCACAGTCATGAATAACCTGTGCAATAGCATCCATAGTTAAGTCCACCCCTTGGTCTCTAGCCCAATTTTATACGTTGCATCACTTCCTTGATGGCCTGAGGTCTCATGGGCCTACTTAGCTAGAAATAATTCACCCTTGTTCTGCCAGTCCAAGTCTATCTGAGCCACCTCAATTTTGGCAGCTCGGTCTACCTGATGGTTATTTTGCTGTTCTTCATTAGCCCAACTCTTGGGCACGTGAGCATCTACATGGCGCACCTTTACAACCATACCCTTTATTTGGTCAGCAATGTCTTTCCACAGTTCAGCAGCCCAAATAGGTTTACCCCTCTGCTGCCAGTTATTTTGCTCCCACTGCTGTAACCACCCCCATAAGGCATTTGCCACCATCCATGAGTCAGTGTAAAGATAAAGCATTGGCCACCTCTCCCGTTCAGCAACATCTAAGGCCAGCTGGACAGCCTTTACCTCTGCAAATTGGCTTGATTCTCCTTTCCCTTCAGTGGCCTCTGCAACTTGTCATGTGGGGCTCCACACAGCAGATTTCCATCTGCGATGCTTTCCCACAATACGACAGGATCCATCAGTGAACAGGGCATACTTTCTTTCATTTTCTGGTAGTTCATGGTATGGTGGGGCCTCTTTAGCATGTGACACCTCTTCTGCGGGTGATGTTCCAAACTTTTTGCCTTCTGGCCAGTCCATGATCACCTCTAGGACCCCTGGACGGCTGAGGTTCCCCATCTGCGCTCGTTGCGTAATCAACGCCATCCATTTACTCCAAGTGGCATCAGTAGCATGATGGGTGGACGGAACCTTTCCTTTAAACATCCAGTTCAGCACTGGCAGTCGAGGTGCCAGAAGGAGCTGTGTTTCAGTACCAACCACTTCAGAAGCAACCTGAACCCCCTCATACGCGGCTAAGATCTCCTTTTCACTTGGTGTAGCACTCTTCTGACCCTCTGTATGCCCGACTCCAAAATCCCAGGGGTCGGCCTCAGGTCTCTCCTGAGGCTCTTTGCCACAAACTCCAAGTGGGACCTTTCTCTCCAGCAGCAGTTTAGAGGATGTTCTTTACATCCTCTCCCACCCTTATTGGCCCTAGGGCCATGGCATGGGCTATCTCCTGTTTAATCTGCTCAAAAGCCTGCTGCTGCTCAGGGCCCCATGTAACCTTATTCTTCTTCCACATCATCTGAGAAAGGGGGCTTACAATGCAGCTGTAGTTTGGAACATGTATTCTCCAAAAGCCTGCTATGTGCAGTAAAGACTGTCTCTCTCTTGCTAGTGGGTGGAGACATAGCAGTGATTTTGTCAATCACATCTTTTGGAATGTGACGATACCCACCTTGTCACTTTATACCTAGGAACTGAATTTCCTGGGCAGGTCCTTTCACTTTGCTCCGCTTAATAGCAAAACCAGCACGCAGAAGAATCTGGATTATTCGCTCTCCTTTTATGAAGACTTCTTCTGCTGTATCGCCCCACACAACGATATCATCAATGTACTGCAAGTGCTCAGGGGCACTGCCCTGTTCTAATGCAGTTTGGATCAACCCGTGGCAAATGGTTGGGCTGTGTTTCCACCCCTGGGGCAAACGGTTCCAAGTATACTGAACACCCCTCCAGGTGAAAGCAAATTGTGGCCTACATTCTGTGGCCAAAGGAATGGAAAAGAAGGCGTTAGCAATATGTCAGTGGTGGCATACCATTTGGCTGCTTTTCACTCCAGTTCATGCTGGAGTTCTGACATGTCCAGCACAGCAGCATTCAGTGGGGCTATGACTTCATTCAGGCCACGATAGTCCACCATCAGCCTTCATTCTCCACTGGCTTTATGCGCTGTCCATAAGGGGCTGTGAAAAGGTGAGTGAATTTTGCTTATCACTCCCTGACTCTCTAGTTGATGAATGAACTTATGAATGGGGAGCAAGGAATCTCTGTTGGTGCGGTACTGCCGTCTGTGCACCGTTTTTGTAGCAATTGGTACCTGTTGCTCTTTTACTCGTAGCAACCCCACAACAGATGGATCTTCTGATAGGCCAGGCAAAACAGACAGCTGCTTAATGTTGTTTGTGTCTACAGCAGTTATTCCAAAGGCCCATCAGTACCCCTTAGGATCCTTGAAATGCCCCCTTCTGAGGTAATCAATACCAAGTATACATGGAGCCCCTGGGCCAGTCACAATAGGATGTTTTTGCCAATCCTTACCAGTGAGGCTTATCTCAGTCTCCAACACAGTCAATTCTTGAGAGCCCCCAGTCACTCCAGAAATATGGATTGATTCTGTCCCTTCATAAATCGAGGGCATCAGAGTGCACTGTGCACCGGTATCCACCAATGCCTTATATTTCAGTGGTTCTGATGTGCCAGGCCATCTAACCCACACAGTCCAATAAACTCTATTATCCCTTTCCCCCCCCGACTGAGGGCAGGGCCCCTCTATTCATTGCCTGTGGTAACTGGAGCAACTGCACTGGTGATTGATCTGTTTTGTAATTCTCTCACCCATGCTCTCTCAGGGTTGTGGTCTTGGCGTGGGTGGTTAGGAACAAAATTAGGGTCATATGACATTTCCACCATGGCTATTTCCCTCAATACTGGATACCCTTTTCAACTGTATCCCACTTTTTCATCACAGGCTTCAAGCCATCTTTGAAGGGATACCTTTCCTTCACAGCTACTAATACTCATTCCCAGAGGGTGGCAACCCTATCCAAACATCTACTAATTCCTCTGTCAATAGCTGGATCTCTGGCGATGCCTTCTGGTTGGCGAGCTTCATTACCGTGTAGAGACAAGCTACTGGCCTTACAGTGAAGTAACCAGGAAACGAGAGTTTTGTTTGGGCGCTGTGTAAACTCCTTTCTTGAGCCTTGGATTTCAGTCATCTTCAGAGGTTGACAACTAGAAATAGAGACTTCCTGTTCATCACTCTCTTTTGCGTGTCTCTTAGCTTTTCCTTTTTCTTTGCCTGATGATGGTGGTTCTGAGGAAAGTCCCTCGCCTGGATTTTCCTCTACCTCCTCTGCTTCTTCTTTTTTCCATTCTAGACACGAGGACACTCATTTCCATTTCTTGCCTTCCACAGGGGCATCTGGCATTGTTACTGGTGTCTCCTGTGATTGATCAGATTTGACTTGGAGATTTTCCCCTTTGGCTTGAACCTCAGCTCGGAAACTCTCTGTCTCCAGAATAGTATTGTATAGGGCACAGTAAGCACAAGCCAAGCCCCAGATGAGTTGTACCTCCTTAGATCTATGTAAGCCGCACCATCCCTGACTCAAATACTGTCTTAATTTCTTGGGATCTCACAGGTGTTCAAGAGTGAAATCCCATGACATTGCAGGTCCCCATGCTTCTAAGATTTTTCCTAAACCTCTCCATATTCCCTGCCAGTCAGCATTGTCTGGTTTTGGAGGAGACTCCTTACAGAGAATGTGAATATGTAGGAATACATTCAGGGAGATTGTTAACATGCACAGGAGTATGCCCACAAACATGAACATTAATTCGGCATTCAAAAAACGTGTGACAAACTGAGAAGAAAGCCTGGAAACTGGTCTGAACATTGTGTTGTTTGTAAAATTAGCTATTCCATTCGGGATGTAAGTGTCAAAATTCAAATAATACCACATTGCATATAAGTACCGTGCAGGTGTCTCCATCAGTGCTCTTATTTGATTATATATGAACACAATTCCACAACAAGAAATCATGACATTGATAATTGGCCAATATGTCGCGAGGAACATAATGACTTTTAATCCCTTAGACAGCACCCCCACAATAAAGAGCGGGTTCATCGCTGGTAGCTGCTAAAAAGGAGTTAATGAATGGAGGCTGATGAGAGGAGAAAAAAAACACATAAAAGCACTGCCCAGACTAAGCAGTGCTCAAAGTTTACAAATATCCCAGAATACTGGCAGTCCATCTGGGCTTTCAAGGTCAAGTTTTCTAGCACAGAAACCTGAACTGCTGATAAGCTGATAAAGTTCCCTAACCAAGCTCTCTAAGAGCAGAGAGAGAGATTTGTTCTAAAAGCTAAAAAGCAGCTAATGCCCACATTCTCCAGCAAAGATTGTCACAGTTAACTAGATCAATCTATGCCTGTGACAGGGGGGCAAGTAGGCCCCTGCCTCCCCCAGCCCCACAAAATGGGAATGGATAGAGAAAAGGGATAGGGAGATGGGAACTGGGCTCAAGAAAGGAGAAAAACCAATGACAAAATCACAAAACCCTGACAGACCCATTTCAAATCTGTTTCGATTTTGAACTTCAATATTATAAGAATTGAATTAGCAAGTATCCTCTTTGTTCATTTTTGTATGACTTCCTTTGAATTGTCTTATGTTGACAGCATTTTTTCCTACATATTCCAATTAATTGTTTTGATAAATGGAAGTAGCTCTTAAAAAGTCCTCAAAACAACCAATAAATGAAAGCACAGATGCACTTATGGACATTTTTATGGAATTTTTATGGAATTTTTGATGGTTCAGTGGAAATCCTGTGATATGAATGATATTCTAATTTTCTATTTTACTATAAAATATACAACTTGACTATTTTGTATTCATATATATTATTTTCACTTTTACAATACTTCCTTCATGTTGTGCCAAAGCGGTCTTCTGTGGAGAAGATCAAGATACAAAAGTGGTCATAAGAAACTGTAACTGACAACTATAGATATATGTGCTTAATAACAGAAAATAATTATAAAGACTGGTAGGAATAGCTTTCCATCCATTCCTTAAAGAAGAGAGAGGAAAAAAAAATACAGATAGAACAATGCTTTGTAGGCTTGTTTTTTTCTTTAATTTGGATTTTTTTTAATTTTTTTTTTTAATCTGATCGCTATTTCTTTCAATTTGAAAACTTTGAAAACTCATTTGCTTCTTTATTTGCTTACTTCCACAATTGCAGAGAACTGAAAGATAATCTTGGCAGCGATGATCCAGAGGGAGATATACCAGTCTTGCTGCAGGCTATTCTGGCAAGGAATCCTAATGTCTTCAGGGAGAAAAGCATGCAGACCAGATACGGGGTACAAAGCGGTAAGAATTTTTGATTCTGTGTTACGATTTAAGTTGTTCTGTAAGCAGGGAGCAATGATATTGACAACAAATATATATAACTACATCTGTGATGTTTGTGCCCATACGTTGTACCTAATAGAGATAGAAAGCTGTATATTTTGACATCTTCTAAGAGTGATTATATTAGAATAAGCATGGAAATAACTCTACGGGTATTTTTTGTAAAAATAATGTTTAGTTTCCCTACTGAAGTTTACTTTCCTGGAGGATTGATTGGATTTTAGTTTCATTTTATTTGAATTTCTTTCTGGTAAAGTTCATAAATTTATCTTAATGAACAATTAAAGTTGGGAAAAATATACCTTGTTCTTATTGGAAAACTGTATTACAGCACATCACTGCAGCGATAGTTCTTTAATAGCTCTAGGGTAAGGAATGGGGTTGAAAGAACCATATTTAACAGTTCTTTCCTGCCATTCTTGACAGCAGTGTGTGATGCCTTAGAAATTTTACTGTTTTGACGGCTGATTCTCTTCTGAGGTGTATACTGCTGGATAGCAAAGATGGAGAAATGGAGATAACAAGCAAAGGATTATTCAGACTCTAGTTTTCAATCTAAAGACTTATTCTCTTGCACCCATAACCTGTTCTTTAATTGCCAAATTTAAAAATAAGAGCATTTCCAGTTTCCACAGTGGGAGGATAAAGCTTTGTTATCAGTGTAGAAATATAGGTAGAAGTTCTATAGGTGTCTAAAGGGGATGGAAAGTGCGGGGAATTTTTGGAAGGGGAGTGGGGACGATTAGATGATCAAGTTCATTCATTTAGGCTAGCGATTAAAGAGCTATATGATATTTGAAAAGAACTTGCTTAGGACAGAACATGTAACATTTCTTGTAAGAATACAGAAATTTTCTCGAATGAAAAAGTTAAGGGCGATGCTAAATATTGTAAAAGTTCACCGATTGTGAAAATTAAGCTCTGATAACAGTCTCCAGATTCTGTTTGGTGACAGCCATGGCAGAATATCATTTTTCCAGCTGTGGGAGGAGTTGTGACTGTCCTGCTAATTTGCAGAATGGTACCACAAAGAACATATGCTTGAATCAGAGTTTTGCACCAGTTCTCTAAAATAATTTTTTGCCAGTGCAAGAGTGAGACAATTTCTGGAATTATTTGATCCAGCAGAGCATTTTTAAAGAAAGAAAACAAAACTAGTTAATTTCTTTCTAAACTTGGCCAATATTGTGATTCAGAGAAGGAAACACTTATGTAGCTTGATTCAATAGTTCAGAGAAGGAAACACTTATGTAGCTTGATTCAATAGTTCGAGTAATCCTTAATGAAATAAGAGCACCTCTATCTTTAGTAAGTGTGCTTTGACCTATAATTGGAGGAAGATATTGGAACAGAATTAAAAATCAATGTGAAACTTAAACAATAGTTGATGCCTTGTTAACTTGATTAAAATAACATTTCAGAAAAATAGAAGAGATGAGAAATAAAAAAAAATTACTTCATTATTTAATTTTATTTTACTTAATTCTGAATACATATACCAGTACAAGCATCGCAGCTTAAGTGTGTGTCACTTTCAGCTGGGACAGAATAGTTTTCTTAATAGAATCTGGTATGATGCCATGTTTTGGCTCCAGGTGAAAAACAGTTGATAACACACTGTAGCAATGGGACAGCTCAATAGGATGGAAAAGGCATTACAACAAAGGCGTGATGACAGAACATGACAGAACCAGTCATCAGGCGTGATAACAGGTGTTACAACAAAGGTGTGATGGCCATATGGGGGAATTATATGGCCTGTGAAGGTCTTAAGGTGCCTACTTTTTCTAATTCCTGCACAGTCCTTGATTTCTCATCTTGACCCCCCCCCCCCCCCCCCCCC